GTGGGAGGACTATTTGTGCAGTTTCCCCTTTGTAAGGGTTATAGCGCAGGATTCCTGAGTCAGGATTGCTAATTCAGGTTCCTTCCGGAGGGATCTTTTAGTCACTTCCCCGCACGATTTTTGATAATATTTTTTTGCCATTAAGGTGTTCGCGTAGGAGTTCTGCACTCGGGTTTATTTAGTTTTTTGTTTATATATTTATAGACGGATTTTTTTCAGGTTGTTCCTTTACGAAGGATTAGTTACTAAGGGTTTCTGGGTAAGGATCCTGTTCTAAGGTTCTCTTCTTAGGGATTATTTACTGAAGGTTCGTTACTAAGGATTCCTCCTTAAGGTTCGCTGAGGAAGGATTATGTTCCTTGAGGAAGGATTCCAAAAGAAGTGTTCCTTGGAAAAGAGTCTTGGTTAACGCTGCCATAGGAAGGATTTTTGATTGAAGGTTCCTCTGTCGAAATTCCCTGCTCAGGCCTAGTGAGAATTTTTTTGTAGTTCAATGGCTCCTGAGCAGGGACTTCTTACGGAAGATCTGTTAGTAAGGGTTCCTTAGCAGGGATTTCTTTAGTAAGGGTTATTTGTTTCTGATCTTCCCTTCGCTCGGATGTCTTATTGATGTTCCCTTCGTACGGATTCTTTACGAGTTGTCCCTTAGCAGGGATTTCATGTGTAAGATTTCTTGTAGTAATTCTTCACTGCCTTCGAAGCGATTTTTCAATATGTTCTGGAAGGAACAACTTTTTTTACCAACGTTCCCTTAGTCGGGATCCTTTATTCGGGTTCCCGTGTTTAGGAATTCCTCATTCAAGGATCGTGAGGAGGGATTCTTCTCCCAGCTTCCCATTCGTAATGTTTCTTTTGTTCAGGGTTTGCTGGCAGAGCTTCTTTACAAGGGTTCCTTTGGTAAGAATTATTTATTCAGGGTTCCTTAGTCGGGATTCTCGCCTAGGGGTGCAGTAGATGCCGAACTTGCGCGGGGACGACATGGCCAAGGAGGTTTTTGCGCTTGCAGGCTCTTTATCCTTCCTCTCAGCCCAGAGGGGACGTCCGAAATCTGGCGTACCTCCTGTGGGCAGCGACGGGAGCGTTCGCCTCAGTGGAAGAGACTTAGACAGCCGGCACTCCCTTGTTGTTGCTGTTGTTGTTGTTGTTGTTGTTGTTGTTGTTGTTGTTGTTGTTGTTGTTGTTGTTGTTGTTGTTGTTGTTGCTGCTGTTGTTGTTGTTGTTGGTGGTGTTGTTGTTGTTGTTGGTTGCTTTCGTTGTGGTTGTGGTTGTGGTTGTGGTTGTGGTTGTCGTTGCTGCTGCTGCTGCTGCTGTTGTTGTTGTTGTTGTTGTTGTGGTTGTGGTTGTTGTTGTTGTGGTTGTTGTTGTTGTTGTTGTTGTTTCTGTTGTTGTTGTCGTCGTCGTCGTATTCGTGGTGGTTGTGGTCGTCGTCGTCGTCGTCGTCGTCGTCGTCGTTGTCGTCTTCGTCTCTGTCGTCGGTATTGGCGTCGTCTCCTTTCCCTCCTCTCCCTGCTGCTGCTGCTCCTACTCGTCTCTTCCTCTTGTTCTTTCTCCACCTGTTTTTTCTCCTTCTCGCCCTCTCCTGCTGGAGCCCCCCCGCGGATTATTTTCCTCCCTCTCCTCCTGCTCCTCCCCGCACTCCTGCGGAGGAGGATGAGCAGGAGCAGGGCGTGGGGGAGGAGGAAGGGGTGGGCGGGAGCAGGGAAGGGGGGTGGATTGAGGGGACATTGAGGGGGAGGAGGATGTGGGGAGGGGGAGACAAGAAGGCAGAGCGGAGGTTAAAAGGTGTTACTGGTTGGGCGGGATGGGGCCTGGGGGGGTGGGCGGCACGCAGGAAGAGCGGTGAGAGGTAGAGAAGAGGGGAGTGGTGAGGTTTGGTGGTGGAAGGGGCATGGGGAAATACTGGCGAGGGAGGCAGGAAAAGGAGGATGACGAGGAGGGGGAGGAGGAGGAGCAGGAGAAGTTGGAGGAGGAATGAGCGGAAGAAGGGGAGGAGGAGGAGGAGGAGGAGGCCGATGATGATGATGATGATGATGATGATGATGATGATGATGATGATGATGATGATGATGATGATTTATGATGATGATGGTGATGTTGATGATGGTGATGGTGATGGTGATGGTGATGATGATCATGATGATTATTGTGGTGATGATAAAGATGATGCTGATGATGGTGGTGATGATCTTCATCATAATTATGGTGCTGATGGTGGTGATGATGCTGATGCTGATGCTGATTCTGCTGATGATGACGACGACGATGCTGATGATGATGATTCGGAGGAGGATGATGGCGAGGATGAGGGTGAGGATGATGATGAGGATGAGGATCATGATGATGATGCTGATGAGATGTTGATCCTGATGGAGGTGAATGGTAATGTGATGCTGATGCTGATGAGGATTACGATGATCACAGCGATGACGAGAACGATGATGCTGATGATGATGAGGATGATGATATGATGATGATGGTGATGACGATGACGATAATGATATTAATGAGGATGATGACAATGACGATGATAATGATGATCATGATGATGCGGCTGGTGCTGTTGATGCTGACGATGACGATGATGGTAGATAGTTATGGTGGTGATGATGCTGATGATGGTGATGGCGATGTTGATGATGACGATGCTGATGATGATGGT